TCTGTCAGTATTTATGACAGGTTCTGTGGAACAAAAAAAAGGCATTTTAAAGAATCTTTATGTGGTTTCACACAGCTGATTGTGACCACAGCTGTTAAAAATAACCAAAAACATGCATGTGGTCCATACAACTTCTACAGCCACAGCAATACAAATATAATCATTGTTCACAGTAAATCTTCCTCTACAGTGAACTCGAGAAACACCACCTCTGATTTGTGAATGAATTGTTCAGTCCAACTGCTGAAACAAATCAACTGATTCAACCAAATTCAATCACTGGTTCGGTTCTCTAGCTCAACTCACTGAATCAATGATCTGGTTACATTAGCAGCTCACTGGAGGGGAAGATTATCAGTGAATAATGGCACAGAGTTTGGTCTGTTTCTAAAACAACACCATTTCTCCTTTTGTGTTCATCAAAATAAACTAACAACACAAAGGTGTGCAAATGTTGCACCAATGAATGTGGTAAACAGAAAAAAAAAATTCTTATTCCATAACTCAAGATCACATGCGTTTTTGAGAAACAAAAAAAAAGTCTAATGTAAAATGCAGAAAAGAAAGCTATATGTTAATATTATAAATACAGATAACTATTTTACTATAGCTATTTTATAACTGTAAATACAGACATACTATTTTAGTTCCTCTCACTCTATAACAAATCCTTTATATTTAATGGTATTCAGAAAAAGAATGAAAATAGTATAAGTAGCTAAACATCAAGTCAAAATGAATGTACTGCTGAAACTGAAACCGCTGTACCAAGTGATCATTACCGAGTGTGAGTGACGTTCGATAATAAATCATGAATCAGTTAGTCTTGACTGGCAGCACTATGATTCTGCTCACTTTTGTTCTGCACTTCCATCAAACGGTTTCAAAATAGTAAAATACAAATAAGTAAAATAAATTTAGATTGTGTGCAAACACATTACAAAGAGGTGGATGTTTTGCAACAAGGTGGAGACAGTTCTGTTCATAACTAGATCTGCTGGTAAAGAAGTGACTGGTACAAGAAAAATTGCCAAAATAAAATGTACACACACACATAAACAGAAGGGAGAAAATGAGATATCAAAGCAAATGAAGAAATGGAAAAGGGAAGTGAAGGTGCTTTAATTATTTTGCATCACCTGAGCCTAAGTATTTAGAAATTTTTATGTGATGGTCATAATAATAATAGGGTTGTCTGTGGTTTCAGAATTTGTTGATGAGTGGCCTGAAGTGGTGTCTCAGTCCGGACCTGCGTGATAGTTTCATTCTTACATGTACTATAATAAAATGTATTATTAGGCCCAAGATTCTTCACATCAGTGAATAAATGCATACAGATGCAAAAAAACATTTGTATTCCTAAACATTCTGGTGGTTTTCGAGGGTTTGGGTTCTAATCCGCCCTCACACACCTTTTTTCCCCTTATTAAAATCAAAGATGTTCATCAGTGATCGTATATCAAGAGCAGGGACACGTTTGTGAGTATTTTGTTTTGTGATTTCAAAAACAACAGATTCCAGCACCAGATCGCATCTTATTTAACAGAAATTAATGTCAGCTGGATATGTTTCATCTGCATTAGGTACGTCCGTGCCGCGAGTGATGGGGACAATATTGACTCTGGCAAAACCGTAAATGACGGTATTATGCTTTGAACTTCACTCTAGTGCATGCAAATCATCCTTCATATGCGCAATATTTGGTGGGTGAACGCAGTAGATTGTACTTCGGAGTATTGAGCAGTGTAACTTTTTATATGTTTGGTTGACTTATTTTATTTTGATAATGAACAGCATTAATATATCATGAAAAGAGTTTGTAACCCTATTAAAGCATTACATGAACAGTCTGGTTAATTGTGAATTAGCTGTCATCAACAGAGCTCGTGTAGCCGTCCTGGAGAAACTGCGTCTGCTTGCCAGTCGCTCTTGCGGTAGCCTACTTTGATTGTCAACATAGCTTCAAGTCAGACGCTGAGCGCAAATCGAACACAACTTTATGCAGTCAGACGGTGTGCTCATGCTCCTACAATTAATTATCCATTAACAGTTTAAGTAATTAACCCCTCCCCCCCGGGCCTGTCTCTATCTCACCCTACAGGAGGCGACAAACCATTCACATAGTCTCTGTGATTATGTACCCGGACGGACGCTTGATTACTCAACGGTCTGCCCGCACACGGGTTTCACCACAGCTAGAGAGTTTTCCTCCGCAATGACCCTTTTAATCACCATGGTGATTCTTAAAACTATTCTGGAACACAAGGCAAAAGCGGTGAGGATGATGCACTGGATGAGAATTCGTAGCATGGCAACAATCAGAGGAAAAGACCGAGAGAGAACACTAGGAACAAAACAGAGCAATTTATGAAGGAGGATAACATTCCCCGACATGTCCGTTGATGTAATCAAGAGGTCGCGAGCCCATCCTAAACGCACCGCTGGTCTCAGTCTGATCGTGACAGCGAGAGAATCAAAGAAAACCATTGATCTTACTGCAGCATTATCAAGAGGAGAGATGTGTTCGCTGTTCTTGGCTTCGCTCTGATTCAAACGTGATCACTGTCATCAATGGACTTCAGGCCTGACGCCATGTTAAATTTGACACATGAAAATGAGGCTAAAATAAGACGGACGTACAGTCTGCTCAATGGGTTAAACTGCTATCTACAACCTGTATTGATTGTTAAATCGATAAACATTGAAAATATATCTTGCCAAATAAGTCTTAAGACAGTACAGCCTCGTCTTCATTCATGTCAAAGTAAACATGGCGTCTACCATGACTTAGGTTATCAATGTTGCATGTACTATACTGCAAATACCAGATATCTAACGTCAGCGATCCTTGAGGACTCATGTCGAAATGGTTTCTCCCACAATTCCACCAGCAGTTTCATAAGTTGAAATTTGGTTTTGTGGTTTTAAGTCCATTTAGGTTATCTTTAAAGCATCTATATATAAGCGCACTTCTAAAAAAAACACAATTTCAGAAGATATTTGTATTATTAACAACAACAACAAAAAACTGTTTTACTCAAGAAAATACCAAACATACCAGTAAATAAGGTCTCTTTAAATGCATTAAAACCAAAAAATACCCATAACAAAACATTGCAATCACGGCCGTTCATATTGCAGCACCTGTCTAAGAAATGAAAGGTGTTTTTGTCATGTTCAAATGCAGCAGTCTGGAAAGCACTGACCCTGCAGCAGAGTCCATATCCTTTCTGCTCATATTTCATGACTAACAAAAATAGCCCTTCCTTCCACCACGACTAGATGGCTGAATAGGCCATTGTGAAAAGAGCACTAAAGACACATAACCCAAAAAAAACAAATGTCTTGAGCAGGGTGGAGGCAGACAGATTCAGAAAAATAAATGGATTTTATATCAATGCGTTGTACCGGAGCAAATGAAAAATGCAGGCCTAATGAAGCTTGTCTTGTCCTCTCATGGTTATTTTGGCCTGGGCCGTGAATTACTACGAGTTCCCCGGTACTACGGTGTTTAAGAGTTGTTGTGTGCTACTGGTCAGATACTAATCGATGACACGTTTATCACTGTAAACTCAACATTTTGATGAGCTACATGCACACACATCACTTACACCAAAAGATGCCAATACCTCTTATTTCTCGCATCATTTCCTTTGCCCTTTAATGGAGTTACAGAAATTCAATTATTATGGGCAGGTTCTTATGAGCGATTCTTTTGCACAGAATGCATTGAGTAGATTCATTGTTAGCAGTCTGAGTCAGCAGAGGGCGCATGAATATTAATCGCTGCATCACAAGTGAGAACTGACACATGTGGAAGATTTGTAAATGAGCGATCCTGCGTGTGGGATGAAGAAGCTCTGCCACATCAGTCAACTTACCGCCGGCTATTAGATGAAGCTAAATGTTTTATGTACGTGTTAAAAATCCCGCAGCTGGTGCAAACTCTCCACAATCTGCTTATTGAACATTCTGACGCACATTACTAATGTTACACTACGGATGTTGAGATGACAATAGACGTCTAGACACTATTTAACAGAAGTCAGATACTGCATGGTTTGGTGTTTCAGTAAAAAGCTTTAAAAAAAGATACATGTGCATGAAAAGAAAAACTGTGTAAGATTAAAATCTTTTAAGAGAATATGCCTTCTTTCATTTTCAGCAAACTTATAGAATCCTAGCAAATCCCTAGAAAGAGAGCTAACGTGAGGCATTTTACTGTTTTTATCAATACACCTGTCTTCGTTTATTATCATTTTGAATTTATATTGAATTGATAATCAAATACAGTTGGTACATTTTATATATTTAATTTTCATGTTTATTTAAATTGTATTGCTAGAAAAATATAAAATTACAACATTCAGGGTTTAAAGTGTATTTAAACATCTATATTTTGATAACGGTGTGGCAAACCTTGCAGATCTACAGAAAATAAAACAGCTCTGACGTGTATGGAGTGGAAGAAGCATGTGGCTGCAGAGAAGAGCCGGACGGAGCGGGTTTCTCTCACCAGTGTCTGTAGAGCGAGTGTGGAGTGGAAAATAGAAACGTGAGTGGAGCTAACTGATTACTGAAAGCTTTGAGCGAGGAGTGGGAACCTCTGTAGCTCCGCTCACACACTGTGATCCAGGCAGTTTGTTTCTTGGCAACATGCTAAGCGCATACAGCAAACTACTCAACATTGAAGGAGTCATGATCTGAAAATCCATTTTTCCTGATCTTTTGACATATGACAGGTCAAAGCAGGTCATTTCCAGCTACAATTTTTACAGAAAGATATGGAGAAAAATACAGTGGAAACAGTGGAAGTCTGCTGAGAATTATGAATATAGCTACAAAAGCTAAAAACAAGAGTTCAGCTCAAGCCAGATTCAGTGTTAGCAACCAGCACTGTGAGTTCCTAACCAACATGATGAGAAATATTTTTTTTACACCTCATTTGCTATGGACAAATGATTTCAGTGTCATTAAGCAGCGATATAGAATCATGTTACCTTTTACGTGGCTCCGGCCAAGCGTCACAAAGCCAGACGAGATGAAGTTGTGAAGGTCATGGCCACCGCCTCGAGTGCTCTCCTTCGAGTAATGTGCTCCTGTAAATGGACACCAGAACATTAATGTAAAAGATCACTCAGCGTCCTGTCACACTTTGCTTCCAAGGTAAACAGCCATCAGCAGCGTAACAAGCTAAATTCCCTGTGCATTTCAAGACTTATAACTTTCCATAATTCAAAGGTAAAGGCACCTTGTCCACCCAACAGCACGCTGCTCTGTCATGAGAATATTAGATGCTGGCAGCGTCTGAGGTGTTATATCTATTCTTGACGTTCTAATTATCAATGAAATACCAGCATGTACATGGAGGAGTCAGAAAACTCGGATGATAACCTTGAGCGCCATCTGGGAGTTTACTGCAGTCACGTTCAGTCAAGTCTAGGCATCATAGCTAAGTGTTTCTGGGCTTTAGTGAACAGAGAATCCAATGCTTTTCATTCTTAAAACTCTACACATTATCCACCCAAAAATTACAATTCTGATTACAATTCTGATTATTACAATACTATTGTACACTGTTGTAATTGCAAGTTTAACCATATAAAGGTTGAGCCGCAGGAAGCACGATGTTAAAATGTTGTTAACAGAGGCTTCAGAGAAGGACAGATTCTCATACTGAGAGCCAGCATGTTCAGCCTTTTGCTTTGGATCACTGGGAACAGTTGGACAAACAGACAAAACAACAGCACAGCACTCAGGTAAGAGGAAGATCTGACACAGTCCTCTAAATCAAATAAATGAACATGAGGCAGGGGAAGAGAATGCAATAAAGCCACAATAAACTTCTTTCACTCTAAATCCAGAGAAGCCCAAAGCGTCTCTCGCACAGGTGAGCTGTCTTGCCAAGAATTCATTACGCTGTGCCGTTACATCACTATGTAGCTGAATTTAATATGCTGTTATATTACCCCCTAAGGAAATCCCAAAAAGTGTGCTCAACCTTGCCATAGGGGCAAGAATCCGAGACGCCGTTTAAATGATAACGACTTCAGAGCCTCAAACCATTAGTGAGAATCCTTGTGATGCTGCGCTTGGACACGCTTGTGCCGTCGGCTCTGATGCGCTCATGTGAGACGCAGGTAAGGCTTGGCAAACCGCAGGGAGAAACTACAGCCGCTTCACCAATAAGACTTCATGGCACGTCCAACTTTGACATTAATTGCTTAGTGTAGAGATGACGAGGCAATAAGTTAAAAAAGTGTAGAGCTGTATCGTTATGAAATTGCCTATTGGCACTCCACATTTTAATTAAACCAATTACATCATAGTGTAATAATCTAGACACATTTTATGCATGCATTACTGATCTCTTAAAGGAATATTTGAGCAAACACAACAGCACATTCACTGCGCTGCTGCGCTACTAACTCAGAAAAAAAAACCTGTTTTGGAAAAAAGGCTCTGTTATTATATGTTCATCAGGTATATTTCTAATCAAATGTTCTATGCATGCATATTTTTCAATGTCAACTCATTATTTAGTCACTTGAGTGCAAATGTTCGGTGTGCATCCTGCTACAAGTGAAGCATTTTTACACTTTCCTATGGCTGCCATTTTATAATATCCTGCACGATTACATAAAGAGAATCCAGTTGTGTGAGAGTATAGTATAAAAACACTAATTATTCACAGTCAGGCAATGAAAACCCAGATTATTCCCCCAGATCATGTTATAAACATCATTTTAAACCAATGTCTTTCCCTCCAGTAAACGATCTTGTGCATCAGGGCATGTGAATATGCATTTTCTCTTTGAGTTGATTCAGTAGATGCTATCAATGCGTTGTACTCAAATTCGTATTCCACTGCCTCTTAACATCGACCCGGGACAGGACTGGGGGTCTCCACTGCCTGGGAATGAGATGTTGCTGGGCTCTGTCATGGACGACAACACAACGTCACCCAGCACGGCTCTAGCTCACATGAACACACAGCTGCATCAATGTGTGCAGAAATACATCAGCAAATACAAATACCATCAGCACTTGTGGCATAATGTCAATTGCCACAAAAAATAATTTTGACTAAAAATAAAAATTATTCAGAAAGAGCAAAGATCTGGGTTACAGTGAGGTACTTAAAATAGAAGTGACTGGGTCAATCTGTATATAATAATAATAATAAAAACATTTATACACTGTTTCAATATTATAGCCACATCACATATACCTGTTACCATGCTTTTGGGTGAAAACATTTCTTTCCTGTCTAAAGTCAAATGCAAATATAACTTCGCTGCCTTGAAAACATAATGTTTAAACCTCAAAATGACTGAGAAAAACATTATAGCTCCAATAATACAGACATTTTAACAGAAGAATGATGTAATTGCTTTTCTATAATAATAAGATTCACACTTTTTTGCTTTCAAATCCTCCAAAATTGGCCTCATTTACTTCCTCACTGTAACCCAGATTTCTTCAACGAAGTTCTTCTATTGGCAGAAGTTTGTCATTTTGTTTTGTAGTAATCATCATCATGCCACAAATGCTGTCAAACTTGTATTGAACAGGAATATTTCTTTGAAGACAGCAACAGATAATTCTCCAAATGGAGAAAAGATCCAAAAGATCTTGGGCTAATGAGCTGCAGTGTATTTAACAGACTCATATCGACCCTGATCCCCGGTCAGGAGTCAAGTGCCCTTGTTTACGTCATCCTGCACTACAAGGTCGCTTTGTAATGAGGATATGGAAAACATGCAGCATAAATCTCACTTAAAGTGCATTATAAGGGGTTTCAAGAGCTGTAGATCTTCTAGAGGGACAGGCGTCAAATATAAATCGCCTTCGGTTAGCTGTTGTTGCCATATGAGTGACATTTATCTCCCTCAAGTCAAAACTGCCGTTTGTGCGATCATAACTCATGAGAACGTCCAACAATGCTCTGAAGTCCCTCCTGACCTGATAGGCTTCGATCCAAACCCAACTGAGAGGAGGCGGATCTTTATGGCTCATCTATAATTGACTCCCATTTAAATATGGCATGTAGAGGTCAGATGTTTACCAAGCGTTAACCTGGTGGATTACACGCGACAGGGCTGAAACATATGCTGCAATGAGAACAGCATGAAAAATAAACCATCTGACTGACAGGTGTCTAGCACATGGTCTGCAGCACAACATACGCAATCCATCAACAAGCCCCCTGATATATATTCTCATATAAGCCAATATCATAACTGTGACTGAAGGTTGGCCAGTGCTCTGTTCCAAAGCCTAGCGAGCTGCCTACAGAGACAGCATTTAAGGCATCATAGTAGGGCTGCAGAAGCAAATGCTCTTCCAAAAGGTAGCTGGTTTAATTACGCTGCCAACTCTGCTGTCTCATTTTGGCAAAATGCTAAGGCAGTAATCCCAGAATGCATGCATTCAAGCTCAGTGAAAACAAAAGGTGGTGGATGAGGAAAATGCTTCATTTAAAAACAAAAAAAACATTAAATGCAAAGAAATATCTATTTTAAAAAAAGTTCAGCGCAATTAAAAACTTACTTTATCTAATATTTGTTCATGATATATGTTTTATTATGTTTCTTGGCAACATGCTAAGCGCATACAGCAAACTACTCAACATTGAAGGAGTCATGATCTGAAAATCCATTTTTCCTGATCTTTTGACATATGACAGGTCAAAGCAGGTCATTTCCAGCTACAATTTTTACAGAAAGATATGGAGAAAAATACAGTGGAAACAGTGGAAGTCTGCTGAGAATTATGAATATAGCTACAAAAGCTAAAAACAAGAGTTCAGCTCAAGCCAGATTCAGTGTTAGCAACCAGCACTGTGAGTTCCTAACCAACATGATGAGAAATATTTTTTTTACACCTCATTTGCTATGGACAAATGATTTCAGTGTCATTAAGCAGCGATATAGAATCATGTTACCTTTTACGTGGCTCCGGCCAAGCGTCACAAAGCCAGACGAGATGAAGTTGTGAAGGTCATGGCCACCGCCTCGAGTGCTCTCCTTCGAGTAATGTGCTCCTGTAAATGGACACCAGAACATTAATGTAAAAGATCACTCAGCGTCCTGTCACACTTTGCTTCCAAGGTAAACAGCCATCAGCAGCGTAACAAGCTAAATTCCCTGTGCATTTCAAGACTTATAACTTTCCATAATTCAAAGGTAAAGGCACCTTGTCCACCCAACAGCACGCTGCTCTGTCATGAGAATATTAGATGCTGGCAGCGTCTGAGGTGTTATATCTATTCTTGACGTTCTAATTATCAATGAAATACCAGCATGTACATGGAGGAGTCAGAAAACTCGGATGATAACCTTGAGCGCCATCTGGGAGTTTACTGCAGTCACGTTCAGTCAAGTCTAGGCATCATAGCTAAGTGTTTCTGGGCTTTAGTGAACAGAGAATCCAATGCTTTTCATTCTTAAAACTCTACACATTATCCACCCAAAAATTACAATTCTGATTACAATTCTGATTATTACAATACTATTGTACACTGTTGTAATTGCAAGTTTAACCATATAAAGGTTGAGCCGCAGGAAGCACGATGTTAAAATGTTGTTAACAGAGGCTTCAGAGAAGGACAGATTCTCATACTGAGAGCCAGCATGTTCAGCCTTTTGCTTTGGATCACTGGGAACAGTTGGACAAACAGACAAAACAACAGCACAGCACTCAGGTAAGAGGAAGATCTGACACAGTCCTCTAAATCAAATAAATGAACATGAGGCAGGGGAAGAGAATGCAATAAAGCCACAATAAACTTCTTTCACTCTAAATCCAGAGAAGCCCAAAGCGTCTCTCGCACAGGTGAGCTGTCTTGCCAAGAATTCATTACGCTGTGCCGTTACATCACTATGTAGCTGAATTTAATATGCTGTTATATTACCCCCTAAGGAAATCCCAAAAAGTGTGCTCAACCTTGCCATAGGGGCAAGAATCCGAGACGCCGTTTAAATGATAACGACTTCAGAGCCTCAAACCATTAGTGAGAATCCTTGTGATGCTGCGCTTGGACACGCTTGTGCCGTCGGCTCTGATGCGCTCATGTGAGACGCAGGTAAGGCTTGGCAAACCGCAGGGAGAAACTACAGCCGCTTCACCAATAAGACTTCATGGCACGTCCAACTTTGACATTAATTGCTTAGTGTAGAGATGACGAGGCAATAAGTTAAAAAAGTGTAGAGCTGTATCGTTATGAAATTGCCTATTGGCACTCCACATTTTAATTAAACCAATTACATCATAGTGTAATAATCTAGACACATTTTATGCATGCATTACTGATCTCTTAAAGGAATATTTGAGCAAACACAACAGCACATTCACTGCGCTGCTGCGCTACTAACTCAGAAAAAAAAACCTGTTTTGGAAAAAAGGCTCTGTTATTATATGTTCATCAGGTATATTTCTAATCAAATGTTCTATGCATGCATATTTTTCAATGTCAACTCATTATTTAGTCACTTGAGTGCAAATGTTCGGTGTGCATCCTGCTACAAGTGAAGCATTTTTACACTTTCCTATGGCTGCCATTTTATAATATCCTGCACGATTACATAAAGAGAATCCAGTTGTGTGAGAGTATAGTATAAAAACACTAATTATTCACAGTCAGGCAATGAAAACCCAGATTATTCCCCCAGATCATGTTATAAACATCATTTTAAACCAATGTCTTTCCCTCCAGTAAACGATCTTGTGCATCAGGGCATGTGAATATGCATTTTCTCTTTGAGTTGATTCAGTAGATGCTATCAATGCGTTGTACTCAAATTCGTATTCCACTGCCTCTTAACATCGACCCGGGACAGGACTGGGGGTCTCCACTGCCTGGGAATGAGATGTTGCTGGGCTCTGTCATGGACGACAACACAACGTCACCCAGCACGGCTCTAGCTCACATGAACACACAGCTGCATCAATGTGTGCAGAAATACATCAGCAAATACAAATACCATCAGCACTTGTGGCATAATGTCAATTGCCACAAAAAATAATTTTGACTAAAAATAAAAATTATTCAGAAAGAGCAAAGATCTGGGTTACAGTGAGGTACTTAAAATAGAAGTGACTGGGTCAATCTGTATATAATAATAATAATAAAAACATTTATACACTGTTTCAATATTATAGCCACATCACATATACCTGTTACCATGCTTTTGGGTGAAAACATTTCTTTCCTGTCTAAAGTCAAATGCAAATATAACTTCGCTGCCTTGAAAACATAATGTTTAAACCTCAAAATGACTGAGAAAAACATTATAGCTCCAATAATACAGACATTTTAACAGAAGAATGATGTAAGTGCTTTTCTATAATAATAAGATTCACACTTTTTTGCTTTCAAATCCTCCAAAATTGGCCTCATTTACTTCCTCACTGTAACCCAGATTTCTTCAACGAAGTTCTTCTATTGGCAGTCAAAATAAATTTTGTTTTGTAGTAATCATCATCATGCCACAAATGCTGTCAAACTTGTATTGAACAGGAATATTTCTTTGAAGACAGCAACAGATAATTCTCCAAATGGAGAAAAGATCCAAAAGATCTTGGGCTAATGAGCTGCAGTGTATTTAACAGACTCATATCGACCCTGATCCCCGGTCAGGAGTCAAGTGCCCTTGTTTACGTCATCCTGCACTACAAGGTCGCTTTGTAATGAGGATATGGAAAACATGCAGCATAAATCTCACTTAAAGTGCATTATAAGGGGTTTCAAGAGCTGTAGATCTTCTAGAGGGACAGGCGTCAAATATAAATCGCCTTCGGTTAGCTGTTGTTGCCATATGAGTGACATTTATCTCCCTCAAGTCAAAACTGCCGTTTGTGCGATCATAACTCATGAGAACGTCCAACAATGCTCTGAAGTCCCTCCTGACCTGATAGGCTTCGATCCAAACCCAACTGAGAGGAGGCGGATCTTTATGGCTCATCTATAATTGACTCCCATTTAAATATGGCATGTAGAGGTCAGATGTTTACCAAGCGTTAACCTGGTGGATTACACGCGACAGGGCTGAAACATATGCTGCAATGAGAACAGCATGAAAAATAAACCATCTGACTGACAGGTGTCTAGCACATGGTCTGCAGCACAACATACGCAATCCATCAACAAGCCCCCTGATATATATTCTCATATAAGCCAATATCATAACTGTGACTGAAGGTTGGCCAGTGCTCTGTTCCAAAGCCTAGCGAGCTGCCTACAGAGACAGCATTTAAGGCATCATAGTAGGGCTGCAGAAGCAAATGCTCTTCCAAAAGGTAGCTGGTTTAATTACGCTGCCAACTCTGCTGTCTCGTTTTGGCAAAATGCTAAGGCAGTAATCCCAGAATGCATGCATTCAAGCTCAGTGAAAACAAAAGGTGGTGGATGAGGAAAATGCTTCATTTAAAAACAAAAAAAAACATTAAATGCAAAGAAATATCTATTTTAAAAAAAGTTCAGCGCAATTAAAAACTTACTTTATCTAATATTTGTTCATGATATATGTTTTATTATTTTTAAAGTGTCGTGCTGTTAGCTTAGCAAGATACTAACACCAGTCAGTTGTGGCATGAGTAGCTGCTGCTTATGTAGATCATTCCAGATCAGTCACTTATGAGGTCCCGTGATTTTTTGGAAGCATTAAAAGGAACAGCTTTTGGAACAGACCTCAGGTAAATCAGTCATTCATTCCATGAAAGTAACTCATTCAGTTTGACTTTTCCACAAACGTCTGAATAGCATCAGGCCGCTTACCGTGATTGGATTTGGAGCTGTGCACTGGGGTGTAGTGGTTTTTGGAGCCCGTGCACTGTGGAGTGTTGTCTTTGGATGAGCTGTTCATCGCCGCAAAGTTCTCACAGTCGTACTGAGATATAGGAATGGGTCCTTGTTGTCTAAGAATATCTGCTAGGGCTCTGTGGAGAAAATTGAAGAACTAAACAATATGAAGACGACAACAACAACACCTTTCCAGTGTTTGGGTGAAAGATTACGTCCAGCTACTCTCTACTCTAATTCCCCTGGATTTGTACAGAAATAAAGAACATCTATAAATAAATGCTTAATCATCATCAGCGAGCCACATTTCAATATTCTCAGAGTTGCATTTGGTATATATATGAAGCCCAGAGGATGTGAATTCATAGCTGCATTATGAAAGTCACGGTTAGCTATGTAAATGTTTACTGTTACCAGAGAAACTGAATTATTTTTGCATTTCATTAACTTGCAGTAGCTGAACTGACAGAAGAGTCAACAGCACACTTTCCTACATGCATTCTCAGTTTGTTTGTTTGTTGGTGTTTATTTGTGTCCCTGCGTAGATTATATAATACAAGCTAGTTTAATGCCTTAGCAGATGTTATTTCTACCACCACAGCAAGACATCAGACTAAATGATATTTTATACATTCACCTGTTCCTGTAATATGGAAAAGGCCAAACAGTTTTGAGCATGAAGCTCTGAGTTCCCCCCAACCATTCATTTGGGCTGCAGGAAAAACTGCAACGATTCTATTTAATATTATGACATTGTTCTTACCAAAACACAGATGTGAGAAAATAGATATAATTAGGCAAAGTGGTTATACATCTGCATATAACATATCCAAGGCCCAAACTGCTGATTGAGGGAACTGTTTTCTCACAGCACACTTAAAATGTTCTGAAGCCCTCAGGCTCAGAGCTGCCAATCCAGCGTAATGAACCGACTGGCCAATGAACACGCTCGTCGTGTCCTGCGTGAACGTGTGTGATTCTGTGTCCAAACAGGCAGACACTGTGACGAATCTGTGCTTGCTGTACTCAACAAATGAAGGGGAAAATTGAAGCGTCTGTAATGAAGCATATACCCTGTGACACAAACACAGAAACGAAGGGTGCGTTTTAAAATTCTGCTTGGGATTTTGATCACAGCCCTGTTAGCATGTGCGATGTTCCATATGGAGAAACAACAGAGCTGCAGATACTGCAGATGGTGAGAGCGCTTCTATCCAGTCCACTTGCAACGTTATCAATCACTCCAAAGCTCTAATATGCAAACGAGAATTTGAGCTCGTTAGGAGCAGTTTAGACGCCGTACCTGCTTTGAGACTACAGCTAGAGTTGTAGGAGAATGACTGCGAGGTGCTCACCTGTGAATGTTCATTTCCTGAGGTGGTTGGGTTGCTTTGTCATATGCGACTTTAGTCGAAACCCCAAGGACTATAATAAAAGCAATGACACCGCAGGTAATGTAGACCGCGGTGTTCGTTTGGTCCATGCTCGGATCGTAAGTGTCACCTGTTGGAACAGGAGACGGGGGCACAGTTTTCACCCAGTCAGGCTTGTGGTAGTTCTTGCATGTTCTCTGGTTCAGCCGGTTGCCTTTAAACTGGCAACAGAATCGCAAGTAGCACGAGCCGCAGCAGTAGCGGTGGTCGGTGTTATTGCACTCGAACTCCTTGTCGAACTGGCCGCTCACGTCGTAGTAGCCCAGGCAGGTCTCGTGCGTGAGCGCCGGACGGACCTGCGTGACCTGCTGCGTGGACGCGGAAGGCGCGACGGTGGTGCCGTTCAGTTCCTTCGGCTTCGGAGTCCTTTTGGGAGCAGGTTTGGCTCGTTTGGCAGTCAGGGTGCCAAACACGTTGAGGGGATCCAGATAAATGAGCAGCAGCAGAAAGTGTCGTATACCCATGGCGCGGCGCGTCTTCAGGACCCTGGACAGCTCTCGGTGATATCCGCTTCAGGCGCACTGATCCCCCGCTGTTCGCGAGTCCCGCATCGCTGTGGATGAGCTGCTGCTTGTGGAGATGCTGCTTGTGGAGCTGCTGCTTGTGGAGATGCTGCTTGTGGAGCTGCTGCTTGTGGAGATGCTGATGAAAGGCGCCATTCATTTAACTCAAATATTCTGCCCCCAGCGCGGCTTGTGTTCGGCTCAGCTGGGATTTCCGACGAACTCTTGTCAAAAGAGCCTTTACATGTCGCTTCCCATCTTGCTCTAGGAAGAAGTGGAGAGGAACTTAATTGTAAGCTAGTTAAATGTTTGCACACCAGCTCTGATAAACGCATCAGACTCGCATTCGCATCAGCGGTGCCAGATTTCTTTCTAACGGTGTAATTAGCATTTATCATTACTATTATTTTAATTCACTCTATAGGCCTAATCGCATTTCTTGTGGTTCATTCATCTAATTTTTAAACACCGCATATATACATATATATCGAGCTGATATGGCAAACAATGTACCTGAAATACAACTGCATGTGCATTCGATCACTTTACACTGAAAAACGGTCGAATGCATTAAAGCACTCCGTCCGGTGTTAATTATATACGATCAATTTACACAAGGTTTTTATGTGGTTACATAAATAGTGCAGTCAGTCTCGGTCAGCACTTACCTTGACTTCACTGCTTCAGGCGGGTGTGCTGGCTCTTGGTGAAGTGAAGTGAAGTGAAGTGATAGTCAGTATCCCGAACAGAGCCATCTGAACGGTCCGCCTCCCCCCTC